CCACACGCAGACCTGTGGCGAAGGATCTGGCATAAGGTGAAGGACCTGGACCTTGACATTCATTGCGCGAAGCACGTGAAGGCCCACAGGCCCAAGAGCAGGATCGGGCAGTTCGAGGGTGAGGGCCTGAAGACTGCGAAGGGCAACAGCGAGGTGGACCTGCTGGCAAAGGTGGGCGCGGAGATGGACGCACACTACGGCAAGCACCAAGCGCTGGAGGACCTTGCAGGGCGAGTACGTCGGGCGCTGCAGAACATTGGTTGGTGGTACCAAAAGATGGGCGGTACGTGGCCAGACGTGCCGCCCAAGGAGAAAGGTGTGCCGAGGCGAAGAGTGCCGAAGCCGATGCTGACCTTGACCGAGCACGACGTCGTGGAGACGGGAGGTTGGCAGGTGTGCATGAGGTGTGGCTATCGTGCGGCGTCCAAGCGGATGTGCCTGAAGATGTGGCAAGCGGAATGCGTACGACCACTCTGGCAGGCAACAGGCACGCGCAGTGCGGGAACAGGCAGCTCGCTGGAGGCCAGCGTGGCCATCGCAGCGGAGGCCGCAGCCGCAGCAACACCAGCAGCAGCACGGCCTGGAGAACAACGCGAAGAACGTGCTGTGCCTGAGGAGCAGGGCAGGCCGCATCGTGTTGAAGTCCATGGCCCGTACGTGGTGTGCGTGGTGTGCGGTGCTCACTCGGCAAGGCGTCGGGCAGGTCTGGGGGCTGCCTGCCCAGGCCCGCTGGCGCCCCGCGGGCGGTCCACCAAGGATGACGCGAAGAGGAAGAAGCGGGACAGGATTCTGGCGGGTAAGAACCCGCAGAATGGCAGGCCGATGGAGCAGGGCGCCGTCCTGCCAGCTCGGCGAGGGGCTTGAGGAGCAGCTCCAGAAGCTGCAGAGGGGGACGTTCAACTATGTGAGCATGGTGAACGTGAGACCGAGCTGGAGGGCAACCAGCTGGGCCAGGCCAATCAGGCCTGAGGCTGGCCGCAGTCTGCGGCGGACGAGCCCCGCGGCGGGATCCGCTTGGGGCTTGGGGGAGGAGAAAAAAAAGAGGCCTCTTGGGGGCCTCTTGGGGGCCTCGTGGGGCCTCTGGGGGCCTCTTGGGGGCCTCTTGGGCGCCTCTTTAGGGCCTCTTGGGGCCTCTTGGGGGCCTCTTGGGGCCTCTTGGAGGCCTCTTGGGAGGCTCCTGGGGGCCTCTTGGGGCCATCTTGGGGCCTCTTGCGACCTCCTCCGAAGCGCAAAGGAGCGCTGCCCCCTGAGAAGGACAAAATGAGCCCAAAACCTTCGTAAAATCAATGATTTTGCTATGAAGGAAGATGAGCGCGGCCCCCTCAGGACGCCAAAATGGGCCCAACACCGTAGTAAAATCAATGATTTTGGCTTCAAAGACGAGCAGAGGGGCCAAACTCGGTCCCCCCCTCGGGGCCAGAATCCTCGTGAGGGTTTGGCCCTCCCAGGAGTCGAATAAGACCCCCCTGACACCACCCCGGACTCCCTGTCCAGGTCCAGGGGGAGGGGGTAGGGGGAGGGGTAAACCCCTCCCCGAAGGGGAAGAAGGGGGGTTGAGGACAGAGCGGGCTCTCTAAACCACTCACGCCCAAAGGGCTGGTGGGATTCTAGATATGATGTTGTCCGCTGGCGTTCGGGGCTGGACGCTCCACCATAACTCCTCCGGCAGTGTAGTTTGTATCGTGTTGCTCTTTTCTCCCATCTCCTTGTCCCCCTCCTCGCGGTTCTCCTCCCTTTCCCCCTCCTCTCCTGCCTTAAATAAAGTTTCGTGTTCACTAGAATCTCGAACACGTTTTACTTCAGCCACGCTTAGGCTGTGGGTTCGAACTCGAAGCTGGAAGCCAAATACCGAAAGATCAGACTTTTGTGTTGATGCTGTATGCCTGCGTTCGGGAGGTTGGAAGCCTCCCCATTCAGAATTACTCTTAACAATCTGTTGTTGTACAAATGCTTGTGTTAGTGCTTATTTGCTTCCGTCAATCCGCATCGGCGCTCGTTGCTTATCTTTCATGGCTGGTTGCGCGCAGGGCGCGCCGAGGGGTGATCTGGCCCCTGGTTGGCGGGATGGCGACGTCGGCAGAGGTTGGCCGGGCCTTTGATTCCCGACGTTTGCTTTTTAGGATGGGTTTCGATTGCCATTTCCCCCCGTGGAGGGTGGGACGCTCGGGAACAGAAACAGTGTTTGGCTGGTCGTGGGGAAGCCCTAAGGTGGGTGCAGGACCCGTGCCCGCCAACAGAACTCCCAGAGCATCCGAAAGTCTCCCACAAGGGGCCCGGATCACTGGCGGAATCCCCACGGCGACATTTTGGAGCCTGCTGGGGGGCTGAGGTGGCCCAGCGGTGACTCTGGCCAGCACAAAGTGGGAGAAAGGAGCCCCCTCGTCGCCACGGCTGGACGCGGCTCGAAATATTTGTCAGTTTCGACCCCGGGAGGGGTCCAGAGCCCAGAGTTGCGAGGATGTCTCAGGCGAAACACGCTGGACCACCTCGCGCGCGGCATCTCAGGCGGCGCCCAGACCTCTCCCAGAGCACAGTTCGACATCAGAAGTGTCATCAAATGGTACGCTTGGGTCTGATCCCCATCCCTCCTCGCTCCTCTCTCTCGGGGCCCATAGTTGCTTCGATGTCTCAGGCGAAACAAGACAAACCACCTCGCGCGCAGCATTTCGTAGCCCGAATTGCGAGGCTGTCTCAGGCGGAACCTGCCAGACCACCTGGCGAACATATTCTCGGAGCCCAGAGTTGCGAGGATATCTCAGGCGTAACTGGCTGGACCACGTCTCGCGCGGCACCTTGGAACTCAGAGTTGTGCAGATGTCTCACGCGAAACGCGCCAGACCATCGCGCGCTCGGCACCTCGGAGATCAGAGTTGCGATGATGTCTCAGGCGAAACGCCCGGGATTTCCTCTCGCGCAGCATCTCAGAGCCCAGAGTTGCGAGAATGTCTCCCGCGAAACGAGCCAGACAACCTTGCGCACATCTTCTCAAACCCAGAATTGCGAAGATGTCTCAGACGAAACGGGCTGGACCACCTCGCGCGCGGAACATCGGAGCTCAGAGTTGCGCGGATGTCTCTGGCGAAACGGGCTGGATCATCTCGCGCGCAGCATCTCGGAGCCCAGAGCTGCGAAGATATCTCAGACGAAACGGGCTGGACCACCTCGCGCGCGGCACATCGGAGCTCAGAGTTGCGAGGATGTCTCAGATAAACGCGCCAGACTATCTCGCGCGCGGCACCTCGGAGGTCAGAGTTGCGATGATGTTTCAGGCGAAACTCGCCGGACCACCTGTCTCGCAGCATTTCGGAGCTTATAGTTTGGAAGATGCCTCAGGCTAATCGCCCAATCCTGGCTAGCTTGGAAAGCAGGGTTGCGAGGACGTCTCAGGCGAAACGGGCAGGAACACCTCATTTGCGTGAGGATGTCTTGTCGGAGAGTCCCTCGGGCGAAACAAGCTTCCGCCACAACATCACCCCAAACTGTTCAGCTGGTTGCGGAAACATCGCATAAACATAAATTTTTGGAGGTCCGCGCGGATGTCTTTAATCGGCGCGGAGCGCGCCAGGGAAGAGGGTCCAGCACAGATCTAGGAAATCCGCGCGGACCTCCGAAAGCTTATGCTAGGTTTTTGCTTCGATTGAGGAGGAACGATAGGGGGGTCTCCGTCGGGGGGGGGGAAGCATCTACCTGGAATCGGCGATACATCGCTGATAGACCCCCGATAGCGACACCACACGTTCCTGGGCGGGGTGTGCTATCAGGAGCCTGTTGGCGATGAATGGGCCACTGGGGGTTGATGCGTCCCCCCCTGAGCACATCCTCCCTGACTTTGCCCCTGACTCCTCCCTCCCCTTCGGTGTCGGCAGCCTCTGGGGATTCCACAGGTGATCTGGCCAGGGCCGAGATGGCTGCGGAACTTGGAAGGGATCGGGTAGTCTGCGCTGGATGGGTCTCGAGCAAAATTGGTCAAGATTGGGACGAGGGCAAATCCGCTCTAAGTCGGCCCGAGATGCCGCGCGCGGAGTGCGATGAGGAAATAAAGGATAAGGAGGAGGAGAAGGAGGATGAAGCCGAGGAGGAGGAGGAGAAGGAGGCTTTGCACGAGGAGGATGAGAATGATTCGTATGAGGAGGGAAACGAGGAGGAGTGAGATGAGGAGGTGCAGGAGGAAGGGCGGAAGGCGCGGCAGGGGGATCAGGATGAGGAGGACAACGACGAGGGGGACGAGCCGGAGGAGGAGAGGAGGAGGGGGAGGAGGGGGAGGAGGAGGAGGAGGATGAGGGGGATGAGGAGGAGGAGGAGGAGGAGGAGGAGGAGGTGTAGTGAAAAAGGGCGAGAAGGAGAATCACGCGGATGCGGAGATATGCGGAGGAGGAGGAGGAGGAGGAGGAGGAGGAGGAGGAGAACCGCGACGCCGATAACGAAAAGCTCGACGACGACTCCGAATGCGCGGGCCGATCAGAAGCAGGGGGACGCGCGAACATTCTCAGACGCCACTTTGGTTTAAAAGCGCTGCTGCCCCTCAAGGAAGAGGCAGGGAGGGAGGCAGAGCTGGGACTCATGAGCGCGGAGCCCCTGCTCGGTCAGGGCTTGGGGCTTGGCGCAGGGCCCGGCACCGCCTGCCGCCTCCATCTGACGCGCTGGTGGGCGACGACGACGAGCCAGAAGTACATCCAGAAGAGCAGAGAGCCACATCAACACAAGCGTTCGGACTTTGAGATCTTGGCGTCGCATTTTTTTCGCAACGGGTGATTTTGCCACGTTTCGGGCCCCCAGACCTTCACGGATCGATTTGGCTCGAAAAATGTTGCAGAAAGATCGGGTCTAGAGCTTTGGTCTTGTTGTTCTACGGTGTTTGTTTGTTCTGTGACGTCGGATTTCAGGGAAGGAGGATAATACACTGGCGCCGGTGCCCTTCCCTTGTCGTCACGGCCCGATTCGCCCCGAAACCGTTGTCAGAACGCACCCCGGGAGGGGTTGCAGCAGTATTAGTATTTCGCCGTTTCCCCCAAATTGTTGCACAGATTTTTTGGCTCGGACTTGGGCGCCCCTCTGGCGGCGCCTCCGGCGCCGCCCCTGGCGCGCTTCGCGCGCCAGGGGAGGAGGGGGGGTCGAGCGCTGGCCGAAGAAATCCGCGCGGACCTCTGAACGTTTATGTTGATACCATGTTGTGCTCTTCTGTGAATGGCCTCCACGGCGAGTCGGCGCAATCTGTGGTTGATCTACGGCGTCGTAGTGGCAGGCGAAATTCTTGTGGACTTGGTCAACTCTTTGTTGGGCAGGAGGCCTGAGGGCCTCGTGTTCTGGATCGTCGATGGCAGCGAGTTATGTTTGTCTCTGTTGCTGATGTATCTTCCACCGAAGACCTTGAAGTCAGATGTGGTTCTGTCTGTATGCTTCACGCTCCAGTTTCTGACGTACCTTGTAGACCCGCAGGGCTTCACGATCGTTGCCATGACGCTCGTAGGAAAAGTGTTTTTGTGCCACGCACTGGGCGTGCACTCCTTAGCCGTCAATGTGTTCGCTTCCTGCTCAATGCTAATGTTCCTCACGTGCTTGCCTGTAAGGGGCGAGGATGCAATCCAAGCGAGCATATCGCTTATAGTTGTGATATCGTTTGTGATGACACTTTTCGAGTGGCTCCTTGCATCGTCTTTTTTGCAACTAGGGGAGCACATTGATGCCTTGCATAATCTGCTCGACAACTCCGCAGAGGGCTGCTGCACAGTGATGAGGCACACAGGAATCGTGACGCATGTCAGCAAACGTCTCCAGGATGTGTTCGGGAGGGAGATGTTGGGCGCAAACGTGTTGGACTTCGTCGACCTTAGCGACCATGTGAGGGTTAGGGGTCTGTTTGAGTATGGACAGTTGAACGTAACGGAACCAGTTTTGGCAACTTGTTTGCAACCGCGATTGGTCGGCAGACTCGGAGCGTCGGAGTTCGACGCGCGGCTGGTGCCCTACCGAGTCACCGAGGCGGACGTGCAGATCAGCTTCCAGAGGGTTGGCGAGGCGATCGCGGAAGGAACAAAAATGCACACACACACACACAGACAGTCGGAGTTCCGCGCGGATCTCTTGGATCTGCGCTGGACCCCCCGGCGGCGGCAGAGGCGCCGCCACTGGCGCGCCCCGCGCGCCAGGGACGGGGTGCAGCGCCGGTCCAGGAGATCCGCGCGGACCTCCGCAGAGCTCTGTTCCTCCAGGCGAGGATGACCAGGGGGCGGGCCGTGGCACGAGCCGGAGCCAGGACCGGGGCCGAGGCGGCGGCCGAGGCCGAGATCGGTGCTGGGTCTGGGGCTGCAGCGCAGCCAGCGGCCTGGGCCCCCTTTCCCAACGGCCCCTGCCAGGGGGGCCTGCCCCTGCTCGACTGCCCCTGCCCCCGGGGCGGGGCCGCCAGAGGCGGCGAGCAGCGGCGCTTCGGCCTGCAGGGCGGCGGCGGCGCCGACGGCCCCAGCAGCTCCACGGGCCCGCTGGCCGTGGACCCGCAGGGGGTCGCGTGCTCGCCGCTGGGCGCGGGCGACAGCCCAGCGGCGCAGGGGCGCAGGGCCTCCGGGCCCGCGCCGGGCGGCGCGCCCGACGCAGGCGACGACCTCAGGACTCCTGACTGTCATCCTCTTCGTGCTCGTCGAGCGACCCTGCCTCACAGCTGGGCCATCCTCTTCTTTGCCTCCCTCATCCTCATCTCCCTTCCTCGATCCTGGGTCGATCCTCGATCCTCGATCCTCGATCGATCTTCGAACCTCGCAGGATCGCCTTCGACCCCTGGCAGTCGGACGCGGACGCGTCGTCCTCTGCGTCGTCTTCCGCCGCGAACGACGTGGACCGCCAGCAGCACGTCGGCTCGGTGTCGGTGGTCGTGGACGTCTTCAGTGAGACGCTGAGAGTGAATCAGATGATCCTCCACTTCTCGTCGGACATTGGAGCAGCGGACGTCTCCACCCCTCGCCAGAGTTCTATGACCACCCCCTGTCTTGCAGACTGGCTCCACGCAGACGAGTTGGAGTACACCCGCGAGTGGATCGTCGAGAGCGCCAAGGCTGGGGCGTCCGAAACCCTGGCCAACGTGACGGGCCACGGGCCGATCCGCTTCTATTGCGGCCAGAGAACCTTCGTGGAGGCCGCGGATGTTTCGGTGGAGCGGCTGGACATCCGCAGCGAGCATTGGCGTGCACAAGCCGGGGGCAAGTGCGGCGAGGAAGAGGAGGATGAAGAGGAAGGAGAGCAAGAGGATGGTGGAGACGAGACGGACGGCGACCACGATTGTCTCTCCGAGGTTGACGGGAGTGAAGAACCATTGAACTCTTTGAATATGTGTTTACGTCTGAATGGAGTCACGAAGATGTTCTGGCCGCCATGGGCAGACAGCCTCGGTTACCGCAGCTTTGTGAAGCACGCGATCAGGAGATATGGCGACCAGGTTGGCCTCAGCAAGCGTCGCTCTCTCAGGCCCATATCAGAGCACAATCGCCGCTGTAAGTCATATGCAGTTGCCTGCGAAATCATCGCGTCGGAGAACCAGCCCGCAAGCCGAACATGAGCTTCCGAGAGCGTCAGATCCCCATATTGTGGCCTGCTTCTTGAGATCGGCCTGGTGTACCCCGGCTGACCAAGCGTCGACCGAGATTGCGGCAGCGGCTTGTTGCCTCTTCAGGGAACGCTCATGCATTGCTTCCCCGCCGCTGGTCGAGAGGTGGCCCGCACGTAACGGGGCGAGCCACCGTGACGAGGATGAGCGTGCCAGCCTGGTGCCCGACAGAAGGCACGCTCGCGGCGTGGCCCTGCAGAAGACGCGCGCGGAGTCGGACATGCCATTCGGTGCTCGTCAAATGTTCGGACGACGGCAGAGTTGGGCATCCCAGCGGGGTCCGATTGCGCGCACGGTGTATCAAGTGTCTTGTTGGCAATGTGTCTGGTCAGTTCCGACGCGTATTTCTGGGATAGCGTGTAGGTGCATTGTTTATGAGGCCACTTCGTGTTTTGTATTGACGTTTCGTTTGTTGCGTTGGCACCCTCCTGGGCAACCCGATCAGGGGCGCACACGGTCGTGGAAAAGGCGGAGCACAGAAGCCCCAGTGGCCCCCGCGAGGGCCTCAGCAGTGGACGGACAGACCAAGAGCCACCCAAGTTGTTGCCGAGATGTCTCTAGAGAGCCACATTCGAGCCTCGAAGGGGGCTCTCTGGGTCCATCTTGGCAACATTTTGGGGGCTCTGGCGGAGGCGACACAATTTGAAAAGCGCCACAGGCTCGATTGTAACGGTTCCAGCCCACCCCGGCTCGAAAATTGCGACACGTTTCTCCCAGAGCCGTCCCAAGAAGCTTAAATTCAAGTAGCTTGCGCCATTCCGCCGACCCGCACAAGGAGTGAGTCTCAGTGTTTGAGACGATCGTGGAAATTTGATCTTGGGTCAGGGGCCTCATGGATGAAGTTGAGGGTCTCTTGATATGCCTCTCCAGGGCCTCTCGGAGAACTCTTGGAGGCATGTGGGAGGCTGTTGGGGGCCTCGTGGGGGTCTCTGGGGGGCTTCTTGGGATTTTCTTGGAGGTCTCTTGGGGCCTCTTGGAGGGCCCAGGGGGCCTCTGGGGGGCTCGAGGAGCCCTCTCGATGAGAAAGGCTCGAAATGTCAACTCGTATTCCCCGTCTTGAGCTTTCTTCGAGCCCTGTTGGGGCCCACCAGAGGCTGTCTTGGGCCGTCTTGGGGCGCCCCTGGGGCTGTCTTTGGGCTTTCTTGGGCCGTCTTGGCGCCTTCTTGGAGGCATCATGGGCCGTCTTCGGACGATCTTGGGGGCCATTTGGACCGTAGTGCTCGCTGTCAAAACGTAAAGTACAAACGTGCTTGAAGATTCATGCGTTTCCTAAGGAATGGGATGGTTGGGGCCTCTGGGGCGCTCTCGGCGATCCTCTGGAGGCGCTTTCGAGCTGTCTTGGGGGCCTCGTGAGCCATCTTGAAGCCATTTTGAATCGTCGTGAGGCTACCCAAGGCCGTCATGACGCTCTCTTCGACTGACTTGGCGCTCTGTCTGGGTCCTGTTGGGCTATATTGGGGCTTTCTGGTGGCTCTGGATGCCCCGGGAGGCGTTGACATGCTCCTGCCCCCCCACCCCCTCCCCCCCCTAGGCTGGCATTTTGAAATCCAGGGGAGGGGAACGGAACATCGCGTGCGCCTCTCTTTCAGTGGCTCTTTTCACGACACTTGCGAGCCGCGAAATCCTGCGAAGGGCGTGCATTCCGGCCCGGGATAGACGCAAGGAAGCAGCGGGCGAGGGAAGGGGGACAACGAGAACAGCGAGAGACAGAGACAAGAAAGCAGGAGGGGAAAGGAAAGGGAGAGTGGGACAGCCAAATGTTTCACACGCCTTTTCGCTCCGGCAAGCGGGGTTCGGCAGGTTTTCGCAGAGCTTCCCCAAGATGGCACTCGAGGGAGCATTGCCGAAATTCTTCCCTGAGACTCGTCCCCAGGAGCTCACCAAAGGAGCCACGCGCCGCACGTAGCATCCCGGCGCCATCAGGGTCGAGATCGCAAAGCGCAGAGAGTACATTGGCCAGTTGAATAACTAAACGAGATAGTTTACGGCTAGTGTCACAGGAGTTTCCAAGAAGTCGGCAGAGCATATCAGCATAACACAAGCTGCGAAAAACAGCAGGAATATCCCGAATGCCAGCATGAATCATTAGGGGCGGCCATCAACCCGCGCAAATGCAAACGCGAAACCCGCCCCATCTGGCGCGGTCGACAGAAACACGCATCCCCCTTTTGGTGATCACTCGAGCGACGGAGGGGGTGGCGTTGCGTTGCCGCCCCCAGGCGCGCGCTGACAACTCTTGCGCCGCAGCGCTCTTGCATGGACGTGGGAAGATGCGGCGGGAGAGAAGGGCGGTAGTTAGGGGCGCTGTTAGGGGGGATAGACCCCAGATCGCCCATTGTTCGCCGATAGGGGCTTGATTGATGGCCCACGCCGCCTGGGACCGCGCGGATTCGTAGGTGCGGAGGCAGAGAAGGGCGGTAGTTAGGGGTGATGTTAGGGTGATAGACCCCAGACCGCCCGCTGTTTGACGATAGGGGCTTGATTGATGGCCCGCGCCGCCTGGGACTGTGCGGATTCGTAGATGCGGAGGCAGAGAAGGGCGGTAGTTGGGGGTGCTGTTAGGTGGGATAGAACCCACACCGCCCACTGTTTGACGACAAGGGCTTGATTGATAGCCCACGCCGCCTGGGACCGTGCGGATTCGTAGGTGCGGAGTCAGAGAAGGGCGGTAGTTGGGGGTGCTGTTAGGGGGGATAGACCCAGATCGCCCACTGTTCGACGATAGGGGCTTGATTGATAGCCCGCGCCGTCTGGGGCCGTGCGGTTTTGTAGATGCGGAGGCAGAGAAGGGCGGTAGTTTGGGGTGTTGTTTGGGGGATAGATCCTAGATTGCCCATCGTTCGCCGATAGCTGCTTGAATGATAGCCCACGCCGCCAGGGACCGTGCGGATTCAGTATCGGAGCCCCATCGCAGATCTATTAGGCGATGTATCACCGATTCCAGGTCGATGTGTTGACTCCCCGAGCTGGTCCTCCCGATCGTCCCCTCTCAGCCAGGAAGGCTTGAGATGAAGACAAATCGCTCCGGAGCGTTCTGGGACGCCCTCAGGGCGCCTGGAACGGCAGCGGCGCCCGATGCATCTTACAGACCCGCCAGCTCTCACAGCCCGCAGATAAGTCTCGGTCCTGATTCACACTGGTATCTTCGTCCTGCACTGGTCTTCGTGGCAGGCGCACGCGGCAGGGCGCAGGGTAGAGGTTGGCCGCCGTTCGCGCGCCGCGCCCGCGCGAGGAGGCGGAGGGCTCATGAGACAAGGCACCTACCAGTCGAGCATCCTCAAGAAAGGTACGACGAACCAGTTCAGGTGTCGCCCTGTCCGTTCCATCCGTTCTCTCTCTCTCTCTCGGCCCCACTTGCCTGTCCCTTCCTCCCCCCGAGGCCAAGCAGGGCGGACGACAAACGAGGGACGCGCCAGACCATCTCCCCGTCGTGATACGAAGAGGCTTGCAGTCCCCCTGCAAAGGTTATGCAGGAAGCAGTGGCGTTGCGCGCCCCGTGGGACCCACTTGAAGCAATGGCATGGGAAATGATTGCAGGAGAAAGGAAAAAGGACGACGGCGACGAAGACGAGTAGGAAGGAGGAGAAGGAGCAGGCAAGGCAAGCCTACGGCATCGCCATCGTGGGCGAAGGCAACCTCCCCTACCCTGACCTCTTTGTGGGCGGAGGCAATCCTACGGCATCGCCATCGTCTGCGAAGCCTGCTGCCCTCGGCCCCTCCCTGGAGCGCGCGAGAAGCTTTCTTGGAGCGCCCTCGGTCTCTTCGGTTCCAGCCTCGGAGCTTAGGAAGGCCAAGTCCCTGCTGGGAGCCCCATCTTCTCGTGCCAAGCCAAAGTCGAAGGCCAGAGCCCCCTCTGTCCCTCCTGAAGTTCGCTGCGCGTTTGGGGAGCTCATCGACGCTCCTGGCGATTCACCTCCTGTGGATTGCACCAGAGCTGCTCGCCTACGCTGCCCAAAGTGCGGTTGGCTTCCTACGGCGGACGGCTTCAGCAGTGCTTGCAAAAGAAGGCAACGAGCTACAGCCAACTTGAGAGATCGCGTCGGAGAATCACCACCACAAAAGTCACGCGAAGCTATTGCAGAGAGTACCCGCACCACAGCGATGACGGCGAGGAGCTTGGCAGTACGACGTGGTGCATGGCAAATGTATCAAGAATGGCATGCGAAACTTCCTGATCAGCACCGTGATTCAGCATGCTGTCTCACCCTGGACAGCGCCACCGCGGCGTCCGAGGGCAAGCAGTACTCTACGTTCTACACTTGTTTCCAGGTGTGGCGGCAGGAAAGTCTTACTTCGAGCCAGGGACACAGCATGTAGTGCACGCGCCGCCACTTGCCCCTCCAAAGACGCGCTGAAGAGGCTTTTTTGCACGGAGGGGGGCCACATGCAAGATCAACCGAAAGAAGTGGTACGTGAAGCAAAATGTACAATCACGCAGAGCCAGATCCCGAAGAGGGGCCAATATTTTGAACGACGAACTCAAGACTTGCCCCATCGCGAAGGCCAAGTGCATCGAGGCCAGGAAGCGCGCGCAGCAGGCCAGGAGACTGACGCGCCAGACCTGCCCCACTACCAAGGCCAACTACGACGAAGGGAGGGAGCGGCGCAGCAAAGCTCGGCGAGAAGCGCGCCTCCAACGTATTCTTCAACATCCAGGAGCTAGGCGTGTTGCCGAGGCTCTGAAGCGTCCTGCAGCAGCGGCCTCATCATCGGGGTCGGAGGGATCATCATCTCGATTATGTTCTGGCACGCGGGACCCAAAACGAGGAGGTGGAGATGAGCTTGGCGACGCGGATGAGCCCAGGACCCCGCGGAAGATTGCCAACTTTTCGCTTAATGTTACATCACTTACCAAAGTTCGCCTATTGGAAGTACGGTCCAGGTGTGATGATGATTGTGTTGGTCTCATCGCGCTGCATGAAATACGATTGGGTACTGAACGACCACGCTGGGTACTGAACCCTGCCCGTCGTGCTGGCTGGGCCGTGGCGCGCCCCCCCCCCGCCGCCGAAGGGTGCTCGCTGTGCTGCGCGGGCTGGTGGTACTGCTATTCTGTGGCGCTCGCACCTTGGGCGCACAGCTATCATGCGGGACCCCGTTCTGGGCCGCGGGCTCGCGGGCATACGTGCAGCACGAGCTAGTGTTCTCTTTGTCTACGCCCCACTGGTGTGATGTTTCTTGGATGGCCTCGCTGCTTCACTACATACACGGCCTTGGCATCGACGGACACCCTGTACATGTTTCGGCGACATCAACTGGAGGCCTGCCTACTCTCAAGTGCTGGGGCCTAGTTTCCAGTTCGCTGCTCACCATGTCCCAACTACCTCGCAGGGGACATCGCCTACACGCGCAGGGCACTTCGGCCCTGAGATATCGACACCTGTCATCCGACATATGCAGCTTCTCCCTGGAGCGCCGCACCACGGCCTGGTGGAATACGAAATGCAGATACCCGTGTACCAAC